TTGTATGACACGCACACATCAATGAAAACTAAACACATTTTTGCTATAAATTCAGTTAATTTTAGTTAATTTTGTGAACACTCATTACAGTTTTAGTTAGTTTTCCTTTTTTTGTTTTTATTTTTATTTCCGTTAACGAAAATGTTTTTCACTTCTAGTTTTCGTTATTTCGTTAGTTTTCGTTAACGATAATAACCTTGACGCCCACTCACATCCTGGGCCATCTGACCTCAGGAGATCACATGATAGGGTGGGGCCAGGTCTCACGGTGGTTCACCCAAAACCCTGGCTGATTGTGACCCACACCGGTTTTCACACCTCGGCTCATGTGATTAGAGGATCAATAGGGGGCCCACGGACCTCTTGGGGGGACACTCCCACTGAGCTTAAATCTGGGAACTGAAGAAGCTTCTCAGATGAAACGTCCAGACGAGCTCCTCAGACAACACCGAGGCTGCTCTCACGTTTGCCAACAACAACCGGATGATCCCTCAGTATTTGGAACATATTCTACCAGGATCTGAGAGGAAGTTGGACTTGTTGGAAGCTTTGCACAATATTACATGTTCAAAATAAACAAACATGTGAAGGTGAAGGTAGAGTCGATGAGTTTCTGTGGCTGACAGAAGCGTAGACCTGTTCACACAGTAGCTTTGTTCTCTTATAGTTCAAACTGCTCTCACTTTACTTATCTTTGTGTGACGTTAAAATATTAAACATGTGTCTTTGATGAATAAGCAAAACACAAGAACACTTGTTCACAGTACTGTAGTTGCATTAAAGTACTCTTCAGGTCATCGTCGTACTGGATGATGACAACATGGTAACACTGGATGAACTGGGCCCACTGGTCTTGGTGTGGATGATGTGGGTGATAACGATCTCGTCCTACCTCACAGCTCTGCCAGCGGTTGGGGATGTTGGGCCGAAGCTTCTGCTCACAGACCACCCTCCTCATCTCCTCCACTGATGGATCTGACTGGACCAGGTCGTAGTAGGGCAGCTGGTAGTCCTCGTGGATGCCTGACAGAAAAACAGACGCTGAAAACTCCCGTCGAGCTTTTAATACTGCAAAAACGAGCTCCAGTCAGTTTGTTGCTGCCACCTAATGAACTTTGACCCTCACCTCCCATGGAGCAGCGACTGGCGATCTCCCAGAAGACGAGGCCCATGGCGTAGATGTCAGCGCGTTTGAAGGACTCAAAGTGCTTCATGTTTATGGAGTCGTCCAGAACCTCTGGAGCCATATACCTGAGGAGACGACGGGTGAGCAGCGGTCCAAACACAACCAAACACCCCACTGAGACTGTTACCCACAGGGACTACCCACAGGGACTACCCACAGGGACTACCCACAGTGCTCTGAGTGGCCACAAGATGGCAGTAATGTACTAGACACAAACAGCAGCTTCATGACACCAGTGCAGGAGATGAAGAAGACATACTGGTTTTATAAAAACACACACGAGTAGAAAAATTTTGCAACCATCATCTTCTTGCGTTACTAACGTGTTACAGGTGTCGAGTGAAAGGTCAAAGGTTACCTTTTGGTCCCTACTCTGTGGTTTGGAGCGATGTCGATGGTGTCGGTGGCGGAGTCGTGCCGCACAGCCAGACCCAGGTCGGCGATGCAGCACGTCCCGTTCTTCTTCACCAGGATGTTCTTGGACTTCAGGTCTCTGTGGGCGATCGCTGGCTTTCCTGCACACCCAGAGCAACAATCAGGACACGCCCACAACTGACCAAGACCCACGGTTACATGACCTTACAGTAAATGTTTCATCTGTTCCTCCCTAACGTGATATTTTAATGCATGTATTATATTTAGTGAAGTACACTGGGCCTTTTATGAACATGTGATGAAGTGCTGTCAGGTCAAACCTATTGTTCTGCAGCAGCCAATCACATTTCAGCTCGTCCTGCTCATCTGGTATAACTGGGCTATAATTAAAACCCCTTTAGGCTCCTTATGCAGGAGGCCTGCCCACAGTGGGCATCCCTGCACATCCTCTCAGTATCACCCTGGTCCATGATCACACTAACTACACTGAGATGTGTTTCATTACGCAGGCCTGGCACCTGTAAGAGCTGCCCCCACGGTCTTTGATGTACTTCAGGGGACATGAGAGGAGCAGACTGATGTCCTCCAGCCTGCCTCTATCTGCACGCTCAAGCTGGCAGACTCCATGTTTACTCCGGCTGATTCAGTCGCCTCATGTGAGCTGCTGGTTTTTGTCACGCCTCCTCTGAGCGTGTCTCCACACTCGCTCGTGTGTTTGTCGTGTTCACTATTCAAACATTCACCTTGGATACGTACAGGTGTGAGCTTCTCACCTTGCGTGCCAACAATCTCCATGTGAAGGTGGGCGAGGCCGCTGGCTGTCGACAGAGACAGTTTGATCATGCCCTCCACGGTGACCGTGTAGCGGTTCAGGTAGTCGAACAGCGATCCGTGCTCGTGGTAGTCCGACACCAGCCACAGCTGAGTCCACGTCCCGTTATCTACACGCCGGGCACAGAAACGTGGATCGTTAACACACTGACACAGTGACGTGTGTGACACGCACCCTGACCTTTGTGTCTCACAGTGATGAGGAGCAGAAAGAAAACGACTCACATCCATTACAGTAATCACCTCCAGCTTTCTACATCTGCATTCACTCTCAAGCTTCACCAAGAATCAGTGATTATTAACCTCGGCGCGTCCTTCCTGTAACCGCTCCCCCCAGATGGCCCCGCCCCTCCTGAGCCTGGAGGTTTCTTCCTGTTAAAGGGAGTTTTTCCTCCCCACTGTCACCAAAGTGCTGCTCACAGCTGTTTTCTCTGTATAGTTGTCGGTCTTTAGCTTACAATATACAGACGTGACCAATTCAAACCTGACATTAAGGCTACGTTCACACTGCAGGTCTTGATGCTCAATTATGATTTTGTGATCAGATCAGATTTTTTTGTCTGCTCGTTCACACGACAAATAAAATGTGACAGCAAACGCGCTCTAGTGTGAACGCTCAAAGCGGCGCAAAAGAAGACGTCACACACAACGTGCTCTGTTTAGACCCAGAGCAACAGTATGTTTGACTGATGGTCTTAATATAAAGACTTCAGACTTCACGTTTCCCAATTTTTGCTTTAAGTTATTTTGTTATTTACATAATAATGTAAATAACCTAATAATGATCCTTATTGCTGTTTTAGAGGAGCGCTGCTTCAAAGGATAGTTTCTGTCAGAATCTGCAGATTATACAGAACAAATAAAATGTTCACGTTTCTCCAACGTTGTCTTCACAACAGTTTCACTGGATGGACAGGAAGCGTTCGTGATGTCTTCTCCAGCGCTGATAATTAGTGTCTGTCTTGTGTCAGTGACGTAAAAGACGGATTTAATGCGACTTGACCATCAAACAGCAGCTTTCTGAAACATCACATATGTATCAGATTCAGCACCACATACGAAAGTGACCCAGATCGGATTTGTGCTGTTGACACTGTCGTAGCATGATGGGATACGAGTCGCACAGGGTCAAAGAAGTCGGATTTGATGCGCTTTCGCCTGCAGTGTGAACGTAGCCTTAAACTCGTTGTTATTGCACTGCCTGCTCAGCAGGGTGACTTCCCCAGCTGAGGGGTAACGGGGGCACTTCCTGACAAATGCCACTTGCTCTGATAATAATAATAATAATAACATGTACACTTTATTACACTTGTAGGAAATGAATCCTCTGCATTTAAGCCACTCAGGGAGGCAGTGGGCACCAATCAGCCCCCGGGGGGCAGCGTGTGGGGACGCTGCCTTGCTCAGGGGCAGCAAAAGTACAAACACCAATGTTGGACCTAATTGTTCTGTATATACCACCTGCTTAAGGATGCCTCACAGCAGGGTGTTTGCTGCTGTGCAGCAGGTCGATGGTGTGTTTGATTTTACACACTTTCTAATACGTTTGTCTGGCTGCTGCCTGGTCGAGCTGCTTCACTAAAGGTAAATGGACACATTTATGTGTGTGACACTGCGTCCTCCTGGCTCTGAACTATGACCCCGTGCTGTGGACCGTTCACTCACCTTTGTTGTCAGCAGCGATGAAGCCCAGGATATTCTCGTGCCTCAGCATCACAGTCTGGTAGATCTCCGCCTCACGGAACCAGGAGCGCTCCTCTCGGGAAGAGAAAATCTTGACAGCCACCTCCTCGCCGCGCCATTTACCGCGCCACACCTCACCGAAACGCCCCTTCCCAATGCTTTCCTGGAGGATGATAGTTCTGGCGATTGTTCTTTGGACCAGCAGTGGGAGACCTGAAAGGAAGTGGACGGACATATGAGTGATGGTCCTGCCCACCCGGAGAAACGACTCGTCTACAGTGAAAACAACCGTTTCATGTGAGCAGAGACGACTCGTGTGTCTGCGACCACACAGCGACGCCACGCACCAGGACTGAAGTCTGCAGCCCCGTTTACACCTCATGACTGTCGTCAGTAATCAGTGTTAGCATAAAGTTTCATTTGATTGACTTGATTAGGTGATTCTGTTTTTGCTTTGCCCTAATGAATCATAAACTTCCTGATCCACAAATCCTGCTGCCGTGCTGGGACCACGCCCACCTCGCCACCCCTGAGAACTTTAACCTTCCGCTTGTTTTTCCTTTAATTTAACCTTATTCATTCATTGATCATGGCTCAAGAGTTGGGAGTTTGCCTTGTAATCAGAAGGTTGCCGGTTCGAGCCCCGGCTCGCACAGTCTCGGTCGTTGTGTCCTTGGGCAAGACACTTCACTTACCGCCTACTGGTGGTGGTCAGAGGGCCCGGTGGCGCCAGTGTCCGGCAGCCTCGCCTCTGTCAGCTGTGGCTACGATGTAGCTTCATCACCAGTGTGTGAGTGTGTGTGTAAAGCACTTTAGGGTCCTCAGGGACGAGTAAAGTAAATACAGGCCTTTATCGACTCGACTTCCATCGCTGCCCTAATAATAACACATTACACACTCACACACACATTTCATTGTGTCGTATATGAATAAATAAAAACAACTGAAACAGGATTTTTTATCCTTCCTCAGCCGCTTTTCACAGACTTTCTCAAAAACCATCAACCAAACCATCAGGCTGCTGATGATGCAGCGTGTTGAAGTGGGCCAGAACAGGGACTTCCCCAGGGGACACATGAGGAACTGGGACTGCTGTGAAGCTGCATCGAGCTCCAGTCTGATAGTTTGAGGTCATGAATAAATAAGGAACATTTGAAACATTTTAGGACTAATCAACATTTCCCAAAGTGTGATGTTCTTCACCTCCTGATGCACAATAAAATAATTACAGTCACCTTTTGCATTCACTTCAAATGCCTGACATGCTTCCCTTTCCTCCAGCTGATCCCAGCATGCACCTCCAACTCTGTCACTGCACCACGTGCAAAGACGAGTAACTGGGTCGTGCACACATCACCAGCACCCTGACAGTGGTAAAGCTTTAAAGGAAAGAAACAATGTCCACTTTGGCCCGACGGCCCTCATGTACTAACATGTCACTTCTTTCCTGTGCAAAACAAACATGAAATGACAACTTGGTCAACAACTGTGCACATGTTAGCAAACCTGACTCTTTGGATTTGGAGCAGGTAAACACAGACAGGGCCACGTTCAGCACTGTGGAGCATCTCTGAGCAGATGTTGTTGTTACATGTACGCTTCTAGCTGCTCAGTCTGAGACCTCTCTGTCATAGTCACTCTGTTCTGGACTCTTCTTCTATGAATCCATGCTGCTGTTTTACCTTCATATCCCTGTGAGATGTCTAAATCCTCCTTCAGCTGATCGCTGCACAAACATGCACAAATGAGACGTAGTTTTACCTGATCCAGAGCCTGAGGTGGTCATGTCATAGATTAGGTCCTTCAGTGTTGTTCCCACAGTGATGAAAGGGTGGTCCATGGAGGGGTCTTCCTCATTAGGCACCCGATGGTGGTGGTGGTGGTGGGCCCCGGCGCCCCCGGCGCCCAGGCCTCTGTGGCTGTGGCAAACGTAGAACGCCAAAACCAGCAGCAAGCAGAGCACACATACAGGGCCAGCGATGACGGCAGCGAGGGCCACCGGCCCCAGAGGAGAGGGGGTCGCTGTGGGGCCTGCAAGACAGAGAGTGTTGGTCAGAATACCTGCTGAGCCAGAGCCTGGACCGTGCTGGCCTGACTGCAGCCTGGAGGCATAAATGTGACGACGAGCCGTCAGTCCTCGTTCTGTGG